ATTTGGAAAACATTGTTTTAAAATTTTAATTTAATTTAATTAAAATTTAATTAAAATTAATATAAATAATGTATTGGGCTCTAAATACCCCTTCTTCTAATTTGAAGTTTTGCTTTCGAGTACAAAGATAAAACTCTCTGACAAAATGAAGATTATATTCAAACTTGATCAAGTAAATATTTTTATTTTAGTATTAAATTGTTGATTATATTTAATTTATTATAAATTATGAAAATCTAAATATAAATATAAAGAATCGTTGATCAATTAGTTTACTCTAAAAACAAAAAAAAAACAATAACTAACAGAAAACTGACCCCTAGACGTTATCAAATATCTTTCAACCCAGATTAGAAAACATGATTTCCTTAAGTTCAAGTTTGCAATTATCTTGCAGCTGTTGCCGACCGAAAGAAACCCAAAAACCCTGTGATAAATCACCTACAACGGGGGCAACCGATAAGGGCCAGTCCCCCGAGTGACCTAGACTTCAGACTCAGACCAAGTTACATATATGTATGTATATATATCCCAGACCTGTCATATCGCTTTTCTCCCAGCTTGTATTCAATCAATCACGTTTCGCTTATCGCCCCCCAATCAGCACGAGACGAAAGCGGAGAAAAGATGGGGCTGGTGCAAAATATGGCACACAAAGGGCACAGAAATCCATGACCACAGACGTTTAATCCGCAACGCGTCGATTATTATGCAAACGGCAATGAAAGCAAACAATTTAAGGCATACATTTGACAGACAATGAGCAGCGGACATAAGTAAATAATAGAAATAAAACACTGGCAAGTGCATGCCTTGGAAACGCCGAACAGTTGGGGAAAAGTGGAAAGTTGTGCGGTTTATGTGCATAATTGTGCGGCGTTTATTTCACTTTAAATTTACTGCGTAACCCCCGACACACCCACCCACCGCGTACCCCCGAAAGTTCGTGCCGAAATGCAGTTTCCATTTACAAACTTCTTGTTTGCTCACTTGATTTGCCTTTTGTTTGGCTTGCTTCTTGTCTTGGTTTGTTTGCGCTTGGCACGTTGCTAATAAAGCAACTATGCGCCAGGCTGCAACAAAAAAAATCTCGAAAAATTGCATAAAGCGAAAAAAGTGCGGCAAATAAAATGCTCATATTTGTGCCATTTGTTCGAACGAGTTTTTGTGAAAGTACGGGTATCTAGCGGATAGTTAATACGAATTTACAGCCGCCCCCTGTCCGCGGCGGCCACTTTGTATCACGATTGCACTCGATTCGAGCTGGGATGGGCCACCAAGCCACCAAGCCCCGTGGCGCTGCAACACGTTTCTCTGTGGCAATTTCTGTTTCGGTTTCTGTGTCTTTTTCGCATTTTTCGCCTTTTTTGCTTATTTTTTGCACAGCCCAGTCCAGCCCAGTCGGACCGACCGTCTCCTTTTGCACTTTATTGACAATTTCTTTTTTGTTTTTGCGAACGTGCGTAGCGCTATTGTCGTTGATAGGGGAAAACCGCAGCGCAGCGCATACCCGTCCGCAAAACCGGCCACCGGCCACCGGCTGCGTCGCATTCAGGCGTTGACGGCCTGTAATGAAATGCGAATTTCATTCATGGCAATTGGTTATGAGTTACGTCTCGAATGGAGTTGGCAAACAACATCGAGGTGAAGTGGCAAAGGGGCAGTTGGGAGGGGCGATTAGGAAAACAACATCAAATGGGCTTCGACAAAACTGCTAAGATAATTAAACTCTATTGCAGTCAAGAAAGAAAAAAATGAAGTTCGAAACATGTGTAAGTATTTTAAATCATAGACAAAATTCCATCCCTTAGATATCATGTTTTCTAAAAATATCAAAACAAACGGAAACAGCAAAAACAAAACAGAAAATCCAAATGCTTTCACTTGCCAGAACATTGAGTCATTTGAAATTCCAGTATGCGATCTATAGCGGATTTGAGTCATCTAAACCAGAGGCTTTGTCACTTACCAGAGCAGTCAAAAGCTTGCATCTCGAATTACCGATTTACATTCCTAAGACTTCCCAGGCAACTCGTATTTATTTTATAACTGAAACCAAACCCCTTTACAATAAATATTGCCAAAAAATAACTAAGATCGAATGTCATAAATATTGGTATTTGTTCTTGTACACATTTCCGCTGCAGGTTTTTGCTTTTCGCGCTGCTTAAAGGAAAGTTGCAGAAATTTCCTAAACTGAGATATTTTAATTAAGTAAAATACGTTCCGAATTATCCGCTAGGTGTTTATGCAAACAAGCGCACAAAAAGCAACAAAACCAAAAAAAAATTGTGGCTTTAACGCAAAAATTTCACAGAGTCAGCGCCGGTCGGAGCAGCTTTAAAAAGCCAGCAACAGCAACAAAAAATATGCCAGACGAGTAATAATTATCCAAAGAAATTATAGCCCCCCTGGTGTTGTGTGTGTGTGTGTGTGTGTTGTGTGTGCATTGGTGAAATGCGAAACTGAGAAGTTGCTCAAAGGTGCTAAAAGTTACGCTGCCAGACAGCGGATTATGAAATATGGAATACATGCCCATAAACGGGAGGACTCCAAAGAATTGATTATGGTTTTCTGTTCAAGCACATTTCAAGGGTATTCCTTATACGAATGTATTATTTAGATCCCCGTAAATTGATTTTGGATTAAGATTTTTTGTCCACTGGATATTAAAAAGAGAGATATTTATCTGTTTAATCCGATTAATATTTCTTTATACTTGAGCCATTACGTACAGAACTTGAATCTGTCAGATAATGCATAAGGTTGATTAATAGTTTTAGGACTTTTGACAAAAAATGTTTTAAATATTTATTACAATATTCGCTAAGGAAAAGCTTCAAGTTATTGTGATATAGGAGTTATGGATGTTATTTTGGTTTGTATATTTATGTTCAATTGACACGATCATTCATTCAAGTTAGCAAGTTGAAAGCCTATAAATCGATACGAAGAAATACGAGTAACCAGCATTGTTTAGTCGGAAAATGCAGCCATTGCGTTCTAACTCGACTTTTCTGTAGCATTTTTTGCAGGCCTATCGATCGATCGTGGTATTAGCTAGCCACAGCTTGTTAACCCGTTTGCAGACCGGGGAAAAAGGGAATGCTGAAGGAAGGCTCCCTGCGAGCTACGAACCACCATTATTGTTGTTGTTTTTGTGCGATGATGTACGATGGTGTAACTTACCCGGGCTGTTTGCAATCCGTACTTGTGCCTGTTGTTGTTGTTGTTGTTGTTGCTGGCCAAGTAGATGATGCTGCTGCTGCAGTTGCGGTTTCAACTGACAGTCGTTGGTTGGGGGCGTTCCAGGTATCGTTATCGTTTCCAGTGCGTTTTCCAGTCAACTTTTGATTTTTGTTGTATTTTTTTTTTTTTGCTATGTTTCGTTTTACCTAAGCACTTCACTTGGAAGGAAAAAAAACCATGAATCACTTGCACGTTATTCGGTTTTATTTGCTCGGCATTATTTGCTTGTTAATTGGTTTCGTTGTTGCTGAATATCGGTCGCAGTATTATTCTTTTTTGTTGGTTTATTTTTTTGGTTTGGTCGTTTAGAAAGTGGGTTAACTGACAGAGCGCGTCTTTAGTTGCGCCTTATGCAAATTGCGGCTATTCGATTCGAGATTTATTTCGACTGGTGGCAAATTCCAGCTTGGTTCAACTTTGTATTTCAGCGATACACAGATACACTCCGTTCGCTGCGATTAGCGCTACAACTTGAGATTCCGCTTCAGACGTTTGCACTCCAACTCGATTCGATTCCGACTGTGCTGCCCAACCGATCGTGGGGCTTTGGCGGACCCCGATCACGACAGTGCACCTCCGAGACAAGTTAAGACGCGATGCGGCTTTGCGAAAGGTGCGCTCAGGTGAGCGAAAGAAACGAGATTTGAGCGGCGGCTTTGGAGCTCTTTAACGGCTTTTTGTAGGCTCGGGAGAGACTCTCCCAGAATTCCGTCAGATGAATAGAGTGGCTGTAATTAAACTTTACCAGCGGTTATTTCAAAGCGACTGTGATGGCCACTCTAGAGCTATCGATATCGGCACGAAAAATCGGCTCAGCCCTGCCAACTTTTGCCAACAGGCCTGCCAGTCAGTGCCCCGATTGCCCTGTCAACCCGTCACAAAAGTAGCCCGGGCAATTCGAAATCCGTACATATAAGTTTCTGTTAATGGCGTGGCAAAAAAAAAATAAAGAAGAGGAAGATCAAAACAGTCAAAAGTCGAAAATGGGCTTTTTGGATGCTGCGCTCTGAGAATTTTTTTTTTGGAAAGGAATTTAAATAAGTTATAGAAGATGTTAGGGCTGTCCTTCCGAAAAGCCCCAACGATCGATCATTTTTAAAATTTCAGGAAACTTATTTCGAATATAATATATATAATATATTGCTTAACGTTTTCAATTTATTATCGTGTTCGTAATGTTATCATATCATAAAAGATCATATTAACTTATCGCACACTCAAACCATGAAAGCGAAATTGGATAGAAAATCAGGTGTAGTTCTGCCACCTCCCGCCCGAGAGCGCTGTTACAGGTAACCGTGCTTATCTCTGACCTAGGGGGCGCTTTATGCTCTATAATGCAGAGCAAGATGGCGCTCAATTTTAATATTATGCAGTGTAAAACAAACAAATTTCGTTATAATTTCCAAACTATTGTATTAAGACCAACTATGTAGAGCCAGCGTGATTAGTTTTTGACAATACATTTTTAACGACGTATAGCACTTGTCTTTAGTTTTGGGCATGCACAGCTTAGTTATTTTGTATAGGATTTCCCGCCAAATAAGCTAGTTTATAAGAATATTATTATAATAAACGTTTTTCTAGGATCCATAAATAAGTCCTTACAATTTTTTGGAACCGCAACTCGCAGGTTCAACAGGAGCGTCACTTTTGATTAAAAGAACAAGCAAGTTCAAGAATTTGAATATAATCGGTTGAATAGTTAGTAAAAATAACTACCAACATCCTCGAGTAAGCAAAAGCCTTCATTTGAAATGAATTTAATTTGGGTGATTTACTTCAACGTGGTTTACATTTCGAATCGACAAACGAGCAACGACCAACGACTGCCTGACGCCAGAGTACTCCTGCCAGTGGACGCTTAGTGGTGTCCCTGGGCCTCGGCCTCCAGCTGCTCCTTGGACTTGTAGCCGACCTGCTCCTCGGGAGTGTGGGGCCAGAAGGTGGGCTTGTTGATGGGGTCGAGCGAGCTCTCGGGGAATGCGTCGCGGTAGTCCTCCATGGTCATCTGGTCGTAGGGCAGCAGCGACTTGAGATGGGCGATCTCCTTCTGGTAGTTCTGGATGCGCTGCTCGGAGGCCTTCTTGTAGGCATCGATCTCCGACTGAGAGGCCTTGATCTCGGCGTCCACCTGTGGGGAGACCTTGTCTTGGGGATAGGGCACCTTCAGGGCATCGTACTGCTTCTGGAAGCTGTCCACAAGTCCGGCCACCGGGATCAACTGCTTGTACTTGGCCCAATCGATCTGGGGCGGGCACTCGGGGTTGGCCAAGACGGCGCGGACGTAGATGTCCGACTTGGTCTTGAAGGCGCCGAAGCTGCTCTTCTGGTTGGCAGGAACGCGCTCGGCAAGAGCGGACCAGTTAACCGAGGATTTGGCGATGCGGCGGGCGGCCATTCTGCAGCACAAATACTGGAAAACAACAACAAAAGCGGATGAGGTTAGGTTGTCGCAGCAGAAAATGGTAGAAGTTGCAAGCGGGTTTCTTTTGGGTTTGCTTAATTGGAATGATAGGGTTTATGATTGGTCAGCGCTTCTTTCCTGCAAACACTTGGCATAACATACGGAAAATTATGCCTGCAAAAATTATGTAATTTTTAACATCAGCAGTTCCACAAGGTTCCCCTTGGCCAAAAACCCTGTTTCATGCTCTTTCTTCAAGGCCTGAATGTGTATCACTTGCTGCCGCTTTAAATCTGCTTTAATTTCTTATTTTAAATGCCTGTTAGCAAACGTACTTATTTTATTAAGGAGAAAATAAGAATTTCTGCCCCAGCACCAACACTTACACTTTGAGTACGAGTGTGACCACAGGTACGTTAAATACCAAGTTATGCCAGGGCTGGCAGAATTTCGAAGGCTGTTCTGCGAGTATTAAAACTCTCCCTGCTTTTGGTCACACCATCAGCTGCTTACCAAAAACATAACTCGTGTGCTCCGTTTATTTAGTTAAAACCTAGTAAATATTGTGATTATCAATTAAAATGCTGCTGAAACAGTTGCCGCAGGCAGTGCAACAGATGCGCTGCATTTCCTCGGCCACAACGGCGGTCACCAGGCTGCATCGCTCTGTCTATTGCCGGCTATATCCCACGGTTGTTGTTCAGCCCGATGGATCCACGATAAACATACGCTATCACGAGCCGCGCAAGATCATCAAGGTACAAATGGGTAGCTGACTTGTAATTAAATGGGCAATAAACATTTTCTACCAACTAGCTTCCCTTGGACCTCAGCACTTTAACCGATGCGGAGCGCAAGGCCCGTCTGGAGGCCCGCAAACCTCGCAAGAAGGTCAAGATCATGGAGGAAGTAGAGGACAACTTCAATGCCAAGAAATACATGAAGTATATCAAGAAAAAGTAGCATTTAACTGTAAAATAAAACGAAAAACAACCGTTATATAAGAACTTTAAATTAAAATTAAAATATCGCTATAGTCGACAAGCATAGGTTTGAGTCTCCGATTCAGTCTTTATTTTTCGAATTAATTTGGTATTTAGCGTGGACTTAACCCTTAGCTAGCGGAGACTTTCTCCGCAGGTAGCAAAGACACATTAGAGAATATCGATATCAGAGAGCGACGAAGATAGGCTATCGATAGCTCCTGCCAAACATCGATAGCGCCGATATTTTGAAAACATCGATTTCATCGTCGCTGTAGTCGATGTTTTCTCGCCGCCAATCAACTTTTTTTGCCATCACTAATCGAGACGGAAAACAAGACGGACGTTGCTGCGCGTCACTCCCGAAAAATATTTAATTTGAGGACGCTCTTTCGCGAGTTCAGACGCAGACATAAATAAACCATCAACTTTTGCTCCATTCCAGACTGCAAAGTCGGTTGTAGCCAAGCCCCCAAACCCCCATTGCAAGTGAATCGGCTTTAACAAAAGTGTCGTCGGAGAAATGCTGAATGGACAGCGTCGCGTCTAACAAAAAACAAGTACACAGCCTGCGAATGCACATAAACAAGACGAGACAGCAAACGCAGAATCGAGTGAAAACCTATTTTAAAACGCCGAGCTATATTTATTTTGTTGACGCTCAAGATTTTCGGTGTTCGCATCTGAATGTCTGCGAGTGCGTGTGAGTGCGCGAGTGCAATTGTGTGGGTTGCATACCACGGCGAATAACTGCAATTGCAATAGAGAGCAGACACATACACACATAATTGGATTATGGCCACACGGCAATAAGAACAGAGAGCGAAGAGAAAAGTGGCCAAAACCGAACGGGTAAATAATGTTATAAGCTGGAATCGGTTAAAGCATAGAATTAGTGGATTAGATATGTCGCACAACTGTTATCTGGCCCCTCCACACTGGTGTGTGTATGTGTGCGGAAGCAGCCTAGAGATGGGGGCCTGACCTTAGCTTTCGCACACTGTCTGCAAAAAGTCTGTACCCGCTGCAGCTTAAAATCGAGCTTGCAGGAACAATAAACCAAAAACTCTCATAGGAAAAGTACAATTTTTTGGTCTGGTCTTAAATTAAAAGTAAACTCTGAAGTTTTAAGCTTAAAATAAATCTTAAAAGGAACTTAGAACATAAGTTACAATAACAACCTACTGTTGATTGGATAAGTAAACAAATTGTCCCTGACCAAAATGTTTTATTTTGAGTTAATTACTTTACTTCAAGGAGCTTATATCAATGACTAATATAACATATTACTCATTTTTTAAGATCTACGATAAGGGATTTCCTTACCCTTGAGTTAATTTCATGATTACTAAAAAATAACTTTAAGCGCTAGCCACCATAAGACGGTTATAATGCCTTTTCATATACGTTTGCACAGCATGTAATCTTATGTAAAAAGCAAATTCAGTATATAATTTTCCTAAGCCTGATGTGCGCAAGTACAAAGCACTTTCTTAAGAAATTTCCATATTCACTTTAATCGAACCTGTTGTCACCATTTGATGCACTCAATCTGGCTCATCTCTAACACGTGCGTGTGTGCGAGCGTCTGGAATTTTAAATTCGAAATGGGGAAGGTCTGGAGCGAAGGGGAGCGTAAATATTTTCGTAAGCAGCGGAAATGTAAAAATAACACAAACACATTTGCAAGTTATGATGAAGATGCTTCCGATGTTTGTGTTTTACCATCTCGCTCTTTTCCTGACCGCTTCCCAGTTTCTCCCTTTTTTCGATTCGGCGGAATGACAGTTTTCCACGTAAAACTGTGACAGATGTTCCGCTCGTTATTACGGATCGAGAGCTATAGCTCCCAATCCGAATGCATCTTCCACTTGGGTTTCCCATTGAAATGCAGCTGCCCTGTTGGGATTTCGCCGGTTTGGTGGTTGTTGCTACTGCTGCATTTTTGTGGTGCTTTTTTTTTTTTTCGTTTGTCCGTTGTGGTCCGTGGTGTTTATGAAATTAACAATAAACTCCCCCGAACTTCCGCCCTCGGCAGCCGGCTGTTAATGCTGCCTTAGCTAATTTGTTTTCATTTGTGTGTGCGCTTGTGCCCGCATCGAGGGGAAAAATAAATAATATAAAAAAAAATAAACCATTTGTGCCCATTCTCCGCACCCTTCAGTTGTTTGGTTTTTGCACCTTCTTCAGCTGCATTCATCAAGTGTTTTGTTTTGTTCGATCTTCTAATAGGACTTGCACTTGAGACTGAAAATAAAACTGTTTTTGTTGTCGTTCTAGTTGCGGCTCTTCGATCTTAAAGTTCATTTTATTTTTGGTGGGATAGTTTTTGCCGATCGATGGGCGGCACGTGAGCCCCGCCCCCTTAAGCGCAACGGTTGCCAATTAGTTGAAATGCCTAAATGGCGCAGTAATCGTGGGACATACAGAAATAGTTTAGAAACGGCCGTTCTGTACCGATAGAAAGTGAAATTTGTTTGCTGGCTAATTAAGCTTATCTTATACTTTCAGCCCAGCATTCCGTTGGCTTTGAATTTATATAGATTTATATATTTCTCCTCGCTTTCCATTTCTTTGCTGTGCGAGCGTGAATCACTTGTTTTAGGGCACCAAAAAGTGAACGATAAAGGCCTCACACCTTCGATGGGCTTGGAATTTATTCAAAAACACACAAATTTACATAGATTCTTTTTCATAAATAGGTATACACATATGTATAGCGGATGCAGCCAGCACCTCCCCGGTTGAATGAGTTGGTAGTTTTTTTCGGGTGTGGGTGTATCTTTTAGATAGCTAGCGATACCGGGCGCATATAGGCGTAGAAGAATTTATGAACGCGACAACGACATGAATTTCATTCAGTCTTTGTTGTTTTTGTGGGCCCAAGAGTGTGCCATGTCCCATTTTCCACTTCTTTTTTTTTTTTTTTTGTTGTTCTTTGATAATTTTGCTCTGCCTCTGCGCTTCATCTCTTTGTTTATAGAAATTTCTTCTTCTTTGGCTGCCTTGGCTTCTTTTCGCCGTCTTCTCGTCTTTGTTTTTCTTTCTACACGGTGGTGGGCATGAAGTGGCATTTTTTGTGCCGCTGACCAACTTTCCTTTTCATTAACGCTTTTTTCGGAGTCTAGCGGCTCTGCCGCACTTCCTGAGAGCATCAGTTCTCGAAGCATTATGCTTCCTACTTGAACGTGTCTGTGGACCAAATCATTTCCAATTTCATAACCAAGATTTATGCCTCTTTAATGGCTCAGCTGGAACAAAGTGTATATTGCACACACTTCTCCGGGCACGCGACTACGTAGGCGAAGATATGACGATGAAGATGATGATGATGATGATGGTGGCCACGACGACCCTTGGCCCCATAAAAATGCAACTTGATCTCGCACAGCAACGAAGTCACCGCAGTCGGCAGCGGTTTATTGACTCGAACCTTGTGGCGGTTAACGGTTTAACATTCGATTTAGAGAATGCCTTAAATTAATTTCTTTGGTTTCTCTAGCAAATCAATTTGCAAAAAAAAAACAAGCAAGGAATGCTAACAAATATTTAAATAAATCGACTTCAAATCGAGTGATTAATAGGGCTTGTATTTTTAATTGCAGTTGAAAAAGGTATATCAAAATAAAGAAAACTAGTTTGACTATGTGGAAGTAATAAGTGATTTCAAAGTTATTTAGGGTTTGTGGGGCGAACCACTTGTTCCACTTCTGAGATTTTTAAATTAAATTCAGCTGCTACCTGCTTTCAGGGCATTTAATCTTTGTGGAAGTGCTGACTTTTCAGATTGCAGCATTCCGCTGTGGGGCCCATCATCTATTTTCCATATGTTTGGCAACAACTGACCTTTGTCTGGCTGGCATTCCTATTAAAACATAAATAATTTGATGTTTTGCCTTTGGTTTTCCACCCGAGATAAATAGTTTGGAACGTGATGTGAAAATTTATGCATGCCCCTTTAAAAGAGTCGTATCAAAGTGACTGCTTAAGTGTTTTACTCGAATTGATAGGTCGGTTTGCTTACCCAAATCAGTACCCCCCTCTCATTGGCAGCCAAAAATCGTTGCTTGGGGCCTTGACTTAGTTTGCGGAGCGTGCTAAACTCATTTTTGTGGGCCACGGAATGGATTTCCCTATTCATCGGCAGCACTCTCTCCGCAGCGCGCTCTTCTTCAAGATATCAAAGCTTAATGTTTACTATTTTTTTACAAAAATATTTAACTTTGCAACTCATTAGGTTTTATGGGAACTTTCACAACTGGCAGTGAAGATAACTCGTATCCATTTCATAGCTAAAAACGAGATAATTTGCCAAAGACCTGCCAGTAATTGGATAACTGTCGTCGGGGGCGTGGTCTAAACCGATCCTTAGGTAATCGTGGGGCAGGCTGCTATTAAATCAAAGCCACGACCCCACTTTCCGTTGCAATTCTTCGTTTGTCATGGCGCCTAATGAAGTGTAGCACTTTTTCCGTGGCCGCTTCATTTGGCCAAAAGCTTTCGTTGTCGTCGATTGGCGGCGGTTAGCCGCAATTGACCCTAATTACGGGCTACTGCCGGCTTTAACTTCGACTTTGGCTTCGGCTCGTTGTGTGTGTTTGGACAGATTTCGCAAAAAAGGAAAGACACACAAAAAATACCAAATAGTAAATCTCAATTCGCATAACTTCCCCGTTTGCTGACTGCAAAAATGTGCTTGGTAATTTGTGTTTTATTTTGACTTTGGCCAGCGGAAAAGTGAGAGCTGTGTTCGCCTCTATCATTATCATTATGTCGAAATTTGGTGTAATTATTTTGTTATAGTTTTAATTGTGAGCTGGCTCTTTTCTGTTATCTGATATGATCGCCATTTGGCGACTCGCATGATCCTTTACGAGCCAAATTTGTGCTGGCTGATTTTATTTTTTGTCGCCCAAAAGCTATTTCGCTGTATCTTATCGCCGAATATATATGGGTACCGTGATAAGGAATGGCAAATCAAAAAATTCCAACCTGTTGCCGTAGTTCTCCGTTATT